GAGATGGTCTCTATTATTGACTCTTGATATTAGCAGAAGTAGAGAATAGGAAATTCCCTATTATCTACTTCTGATAGTATAGTTAGCTAACAGTGAGTCCATTATACGCGGTGTGTTTCTCGTACTCGATGCCATGTCTATATGGTTGGCCATCGTACTCAGAAATATTGTACTAAAAAATTATTTCTGCCGCGGTAAAAATCATTTATCCGCAGTTAAATTATGTGTATCAAGGGCTCTGATTGGGTAAAACGGCTATAATTTAACTGCGGTTAAATAAGTTTTACCGCGGTAAAAATGTTTATTTCCGATTACGATGGCCAACCATAGCCGTCGTCGTCGCTGTGTGTAAACCCGATCGGTCGTTAGACGGGTGAATCGCCTTCGCAGCCCCGTCATTGCATTGCAGCCTAATTTGTCAGCGCTGCAAAAGTGCCGCTTGGAAAATGGACGCTTGTCTGTAATCATTGGCCGACACTCTGCGCACGGGCCCATTTGTTGTCGAACCTTCATCACAAAACAACGGGCGAGAGAGGTGCGGTCTCCGCCAGCAGCGGCGGGGCCTGGACGCAGCGAGCGAGCGGTCGGTCGCGTAATCCACGGGCACTTGGAACGTTTCAATAGTAAAATGATGGTAAATAAACACGAAATGTATTTACTACCAATATCTCAATGTTTCTCTACTCTATTTCGCCTATTATTGCCGATAACTTCCTATAAATGCCGTTCAAATGCTCCTCTGCAACACGAGTACACAGCGCACGCCACTGTGCACAAACAACAAGAATAAAGAGTTTAAATCGGCAATAACTGGCGAAATAGAGTAGAGAAACATTAAGATATTGGTAGTAAATACATTTCGTGTTTATTTACCATCATTTTACTATTGAAACGTTCCAAGTGCCTGTGGCGTAGTCTAGGCTCGAAACGGTTTACCTTCGAAACGGTTTACGATCGGTACGGTTGGTTCACTAGCGGTGGCCGCACGGGTACGATGATCGTCAGGCCGTGTCCGTGTCCGAATCCGCGCCGCTGTCCCCGTTTTTACTGGAAATTTGTCGCCGATTTCTCACCGTCATGTGCGGTGGTGACAAATCACCACCCGTGGAGTCTTGACGCTAGATAGTTGGTCATTGGTGGTGGTTGTGGAAGGGTGGGGGTGGGGGAAGGAGTGCTTGATTTAGACGCCCTTCAGAGAGTTTGTTCTAATTCACTATCTCGTCAGCTCGAAGACCGCACAGGAGACGCGATGTCGAAACAGCGTGAGAGTTTTAGCAGCCTTGCCTGCCCTCTCTTGGCTGTGGGTGGTCTGTTACGTGGGGGAAAGGGACACGATATAAAGTTGTATCGGTATTTCTTTTCTTGAAATTGTTATGTACGTCAGCACTAAGTTATATAGAAATGTGTGTGCGTGCGTGCGTGTGTGTCTGTGTGTGCGTGCGTGTTGGGCCACGTGCGTGCGCGTGCGCGAGCGTTTATTGTGTATAACGAATAGTGACCATATAATGCGGTTTGTGTTAGAATGACAGTAATAATGATGTAGTAATTGATATAAACCCGCACAGATTATTTTTAATGAAGGCTTTGCGAGATAAACGAATACAGGCCGTGCACCGCTCCGAACTTTCCTGACCAGTCACGGATTTTGTCGAGTTATTTATTTAACCAGGTTATCACGTCTTAACTATCCCCGTCGAAATTAATTCTTGTAGGATCTTGAATTCAAATAACTTTTTGTGACGTCCCGCCGTGAATACTACAAATGTTTAGTATCTCAGGTGCAATCTGATTGGTTGTTATTGTCTCGTGGCCTCTTTGGAGATTTTTGAATTTTTGTGGGAATTTTGCGCATTCTATGAGGGTGGTGATTTGAAGTGAAATTGCTTTATATTTTATATGCCCGTATATATTTATTTTATTTACAGTGAGTAATACTAGGGGTATAACGATATAAACATATTTACTGGACTTTAACGGGACAAGCAGAAAAGTGAATGTAAGAATGCGCGTAATTTACCGGTGGAAAAGTTGGAAAATAAAACGCCTTTTAGTAGTTTATTTACTCGGTATTTTGCTGCTAACGCTGTTTAACGTCGTTAAAAGTACCTCCCAGTGCGCAAAGGCACGGAACCTGCGGCCAGAAAATAGCTGATACGCACCTTGCTAATCATTTTACTTGAAAAACATTTACGGAAAGTTTATTTTGGCTGTCATTTTCTCCGGATGAAAAATAGCAGTTTTTTGTGTATTTCCGACCACTGAAATGCAACACCAAGTAAAAAGTATTTGTATTGTACTGTTAGTGGTGACACTCCTAAAGGCATTAAAGTTAGGCAATTAAGTTCATTTAATTAAGTTGTCCTGTGTAATTTACACCTATATTATATTTAATATAACATTTCGTAAAATTTTCGTTTCTGTGTCAATTTGACGTGCATTCCTCAAGTTCTCTGCACAATAGTACCCATTTGAAATTTCATTTTGATTTTGAAACTGAAATTAATTCAATTTACATGGGTTGTTTACGTAGCCCCTGCACGTCTCCCCCCCCCCACCCAACACACCACACCACACAAACACACACACAACACAAACACACACACACACACACACACACACACCACACAGCACAAACACACACACAACACACACACACACACCACACACACAAACACACACCCACACACCACACACACACCACAACACACACACCACACACACACACACACACACATACACCACACACACACTCACACTCACACTCACTCCCCCCCCCGCACAACACACAGCGGTGTGAAGAAGCATGTTAGGGTTTGTAGTATTATTTCGCGTTAGTCTGCCGGTGGTATCGTGGGGTGCGAGAAGGAGTGCTAGCAGACTGCCGTGCCTCTCGTAGCTACCTCGTGGCTTACATTATTCCTCTCCCCCTCATTCCCCTTCCCTCCCCTCCCCCTCCCCCTGCGTGCGACGTCCTGTAACAGCCGCAGGGTGCACCGCCGGTAATCATTTAGAGCTATATGACCGGCCATAACAGTTTGCAAGCTTGCCATCGAGGCAGTGATCGATGACGCAGATAAATTCGGTGACTCCTTTCATTCTAATGATTTACACGCCGATGTGAGACCCGCTGAATGCCTGGAGCCTGCCGCAGCGAGCGGTTAAGATCATCCCGGAGAGTTAGAACCATAGTTAGAACTCATTAAATCGCCGCTAGGGTGCCGTGGTCGCACAGCGGGGCACCCCTGACCATCAGCATTTACTCCTGCAGGCATGCTCAGTTGTTTCGACGCTCATTTGTTCTCGCGGGCACGCTAATTAAAAGTCTATTCACTGTTCATTTTTCACGGAGTCAGTCGATAATGATAGCGTTATGGCACTTTAAGGTGGACATGTGTTTGCTTAACGGCTGGGGCGACCAGTGCCCAAGCTAACAAACAACTTGTTCGGAGTGAATAGAACTTCACACTCGCACGCTAACTGCTTCCAATCTATTTTTCACACCTGAGAATCGTGTCTCGTACTGAATGTGGATCCATTACGGGGCGTGTAGTTTGAGGGTGGGAAATTTCTCAAGCTGTCATTAAGGGGCGGGCATGTAGGTTGAGTAACGCGAACGAAATGCGGCTAGAGCGGCGCTTGTTCGCTCACCGCTCGCGCGTATTTGTTTTAAGCTGGCAGCGAAAGATGTCGCCTCAAGCGAAAGCTCGCTTCGCATTAAAGTTGCGTTGCTTAATTCTGTCATCGTACGAAAGTTTTGCCGTGTTGGACGAGCAAACACGACATTTACGATAATGTATTGGCCCTCTCCGTATAAACTGTGTCGATTAAACCCAACCCTAATGTGTATCTGCAGATAAAAGTGCCCTATATGCAAAATTGAAACTGACGTTCTAGTGTTTAAACTAGTGCTCCTGTTTATCTAATGTAGTAAAATCACTGTATGATTCTTTCCATTGTGCTGTTTCAATCATGTAGATATCGACATGTGATAGCATGCATGGCATACATAGACCTAGTGGGCGCGAGAGAAGGTTTCTATATTCCCCTTTAATCTTTGTTGTTCCATTAACTCGAGATCGATCTTTCAAATTCATCTACAAAATATTATTCAATTTGTTGGTGCTCTGTAGCTCGAAATATTATCCTAATATTTCTTTTTTATTTAGACTGAATCAGCGTTTGAATTAGACTTGTGATAAAAAGGCAAAAGGAATGCTTTTGATGGTCTTATGTATTTGGGTTATGCAAATATTTAGACATGATTATTATGAACGTAATGCATTGTATAGAGAAGCAATTGGCAATTGTTGATACACTGAATCCTTCTAAATTTATGTTCAATTATGCTTTCATGCTATTTATGTTCAATCTGCAACAGCATGAGCCAGTTTGCTGTGTGTATAGCCTATAACAATTGTCATTTTCGTTCATTTGCAGACGTGTTTTATGTTAATAATTTAATACGTTATTCCGACAGACAACTTTGCATCATTGTATAATTTTCTATTGTGATTTAGAACTGACAGGGTCCATTAAGCCAGCTGTTTGTATGCATCATTAAAAACGGATTTGCGCTGCAAATGCATGTCGTCGGAGCGGTTACGCGCATTATAAACTGTCCGTCCATGCCACGAGATTTCTCACGTCATTAGCATGGGTTAGGTAATGACTGTAGAGGCGTGTGTGGCTGGAGGCGCGTACGTGGGTTAATACTAACCCGCGTTCTACGTGTTCGTATATACTTAGTGACAATTGCTTCGTTTTTCCTATTTTTGTAACAATAATGTAATGTGTGTGCGTGTGTGTGTGTGTGCGTGCGTGCGTGCGTGCGTGTGTGTGTGTGTGCGCGCGCGTGCGCGTGCGTGTGCGTGTACGCGTGTAAACTGTATGTGTGCGCGCGCATGCGTGTATTCGTGGGTGTATGCGTGTGTGCGTGTGTGCGTGAGTGCATGCATGCATGTGTATGTATGTGTTAGTGATGAGAGGTTGCTGTGTTGTAGGCACTACTGGAGACAGCGGCGACGAGGGCAGTGCTGCCGGCACCCATCCTCGTCATACCCCCGATCGTCATGAGCCTACTCGAAAAGTACGTCCTATTACTTATTAGTTACCCATTAGTTAGTCGTTAATCACTCATTAATTAGTCATTAATTAAGAGATGCGCGTTGGTCCGGTTGTCAGTAATGTAATTGCCGATCAGAAAAGGAGGCGATAAACGTTTTTTTCTGTTCTTTCTGTTCTCTTCTTAACTTCCGTTATGTTTTGGTGTAACAGCGCAGAACCAGAGCATATAAATCAACATTATTTATATGCTCATTAATCAACATTATTTATATGTTGATTTATATGCTCTGGCAGAACTCAAAACGGACTTGTTCTAAAATTCAATGTAAAACATCATGGCATTGCATCCACGAACTGCGTGTGAATTGTTTTTAAAGTTGCTGATTTCCCATTTTAATTTTAATTGTTTTTTTAATGTGGTTGCTTATTTATTACAGTAGATCGAGATTGTTTGGCTTTCAAACATTGTTTAGTTGCAATAGGTTTATATATAATATATATATATATGTGTGTGTGTGTGTGTGTGTGTGTGTGTGCGTGCGTGCGTGCAAGCGCGCGCGCGTGCGTGCGCGTGTGTGTGTGCGTGTGCGTGTGCGTGTGCGTGTGTGTGTGTGTGTGTATATGTGTGTGTATGATTTGTATTGATTAGTCTCAGAGTAATGGTTTTGTCGTTGTTTACAGCTAGAGTTTTATCTTCACTGTAATTGAATTTTCTCGTCGTGCAGGACTAGGTTTCTGCGCAGCAACCCACGCTGGAACCTGCCGATTCACGCTGCTGTCGTCACGGCATCGTTTGGCTTCGCGCTTCCGCTAGCAATCAGCATCTTTCCACAGATGTCGGAGGTGAGTGGCCGCCCGCCCGCTTGCCCGTGCGCGCAGGTGGAAGGGGAGGGGGAGGGGGAGGGGTGAGAGCCACGCCTCGTTAACTCTCACGCTGCACCTGTGAGATTATACTGTCCTGTGCATATCGGCTCTCCCATCAACCCACTCTCTGTCTCTTCCCGCGGGGGGAGGGGGGGGAGGCGCTCGGCAGCGCGGACAGGTTAATGACGATGACGCTGTTGTTTGTTAAAGTGATGGGGATTTCATGCGCGCAATTCTCGCGGCCGAGGTGTCATCGTAATTAGGAGCGAAATAGGTTCCTAATGCGTTTTAACTCTGGCGGTGGCGGCGGCGGCGGCGGCGGCGGCGCTGGGAACGCGGTCGCACCCGCGAGCGGGCGTGACCCGAACCCCGTCACCCGCGCTGTCACCCGGCGCAGCGGTGGACGCACCGGGACTCGAACCCTGTCACCCGCGCTGTCCTGGCGCACGCACCGGGACTCGAACCCTGTCACCCGCGCTGTCCTGGCGCACGCACCGGGACTCGAACCCCGTCACCCGCGCTGTCCCCCGGCGCAGCCGCGCACGCACCGGGATTCGAACCAGAGTTTTGTTCGGCGAGATTCTGTCGCCGACGCGGCACGGCGGTGACGTCGGCTGTACGTGCGCGCATCTGACGGTGACGTCGGTTGAACGTGTGCGCATTTGACGATGTCGTCGGCAGTGCGTGCTGGTATCGGACTGTGACGTCGGCTGTGCGTGCGCGCATTTGACGGTGACGTCGGCTGTACGTGCGCGCAGCTTACGGTGACGTCGGTTGTGCGTATGCGCAGCTAACGGTGACGTCACAAGAACGTCGATGTGAACGAGCAAGATGCTATATATATTATGTAATATATAAAAAAATATATATATATATATATATATATATATATATATATATATAATATATAATTATATATATATATATATATATATATATTATCGCTTTCTTCGAGCCGCATCGATGGCGGCGGCTGTTTCTTTCTCACCCTTTTCGGATGGCACTAGTTGGATGGCATTAGCGTGATCATGTTTGTTGTTGGAGGGGGAGAGGGTGGTGGCGAAGTGGTCCTGCGATGAGCGAGCGCTGTTGTGCGTTGGTTGTAACAGTGACTGACACACGCGGTGTTTAGCAACTTTAGCCCCCCCCCCCCCCACACTCGTGATCACGCCGCTCCAACTATTCGCATCGCCGTGCCCTTACGAAAACACTTTAGAGCGAACTGCGAAAATATTTTCGCAAAGGATTATGTTTTTCTAAGGGCTGCAAATGAGAAGATTCGACAAAGGCGGGTGGGCGGGACTTTGGGTGTCTAGCGGGAGTTCTGTTGGGAAGCGATGAGTGAGTTTAACACCGCCGCTCCCTCTGTATTCTCTGATTCTGTTACAGCTATACGGTGCATTCCGTACCTACAGCACAGTATGTAATTAAGCAGTAGGGGTGGGTGATACATGTAACAGAGGTTAATAATGACAAATTTACCATTTTTATCATTTGTCAACGACAATTTGTCATTATTAACCCCCTGATATAACCAGCACAGCTTGGTGTGCGACCGCAGCGGTTGCTGTGTAAGCGGTTATTACCGGTAACATCAGATATATGTTCCCTCCCTCCCGCGCGCATGCAATACTTCCACATTGTATCGATGGTGTGAGAAGTATGCCATGGGTGACATCACAGGGTATTTTATCGCGTTCGCCGGTGCCGCTAATAGGTTCGTTCATTCATTTATAGTGAACCAAAACGCAAATACGCCGAACGCCGCTTCCATAAACGGTCGCTTTCATATATCACGGAATGTGATAAGCCTCCCCTCAGCAGCAGCAACAACAACAACAACACGACCACGGCTCTCCTTTCCGTCCCTCCGTCGGTTCTTCCTGTGAGAACTTTGCTCGTCTGTGCAAACACGCCTTCCGCGCACGCGCATGCGCATGCGCATTCACGTTCAGTTGGCGTGCGAGCGTCGCTAGCAACAGTAGCAACAGGAGCTTCCTGGCCAAAAAAATGTCGACTGGCTATACTATACAGACAGGAGACAGATGATATCAGACGTACATAATGAACGTTTTATTTCTGTTAACATAACATAATATAACATATTATAACATAATATAACATATTATAACATAATATAACATATTACACCTGTAAAGCTCACTCATCTGACGGCCACACACGCGCATCGTCTTCGCGTCGTGGCGTCTACACACATGTAAGCACACACGCACGCACGCACACGCACACACGCAGTCACACATGCATGCACGCACACACACGCGCGCACACACACACGCACGCACACACACACGCACGCGCACACACGCACGCGCACACACGCACTACACACACTCCACACGGACGCGACCGGCGCACGCGACAACACGCGCACACCACACACGCAACGTACACACACCATGCAATGCACGCCACACACATACGCACCATGCGCGAGCGCAGCGGCGCACACCAACACACGCACGCACGCCACGCACGCACGCACGACGACACCAAACACAAAGAAGAGATGAGCAGGACAGCAACGACAGACACGAACAGGACAGCACAGACAGCACAGACAGACACAGACAGACAGACAGACAACGACAGACAGACAGACCAGACAGACAGACAGAGACAGACAGACAGACAGAGAGAGAGAGAGAGAGAGAGACGTACTCCGTCCTACCGCGATGTGGGTGTGAGAGAGTCGACCGCCTCTACGAGGGAACACAATTAGGCGAAGAAAGAACAACATTTTCTGCTGGCCATATAAAGCTGGTCGGCAAATACACGCGAATAGAAAGAGAGAGAGAGAGAAAAGAAGAGAGACAGAGAAAGCGAGAGAGCGAGGCGGCGGCACGGAGGCACGGCGTTTAGCCCCTTTTTGTAACATTTAGTCGCGCTACGACCGCTGCGTGCGCCATTGCCGCCGCCCCACGATGCTCTCACCTTACTGTTTATGTATGCTCACATGATGACGGGCCAGGTGTAGGACCGGGTTCTAGGACTCGGGTTAGGGTCTGCGTGAGGGGCCGGAGTGTAGGAATGTAGTGTGGAACTGGGGTGTGGGACATGGGGTGTCCCACCGCTACACGCCGTGGCAATGCGCCGAGCAGAAAGCAGAAGAAATCAGAAATCAGAATAAAATGATAAAAATACCACGTTTATCATTTAATTTTTTTACGGTCCGTAAATTTATTTTCCGTAGTTACGACACGTCGCGGCAAATGCGTTTGAGGGCGTCTGTGTAATGTAAAGCACGTTAACTAATACTCGGAATATTTTTTGTCGTTCAGATTTCGACAGACAGATTGGAACAGGACATTCGATCTAAGACGACCAAGTCGGTGCTGTATTACAACAAGGGTCTGTGATCACTACACTTCACCAGCACTAGTCTAGACGATTGCGAATACGCGAGTATCATCAAGGATAGTTAATTTGTTACACGGATGTTAATACGGAAACCTTTGTTACATGAAACAAACAACTCTTCACGGGATATTATATGCGCAATAGTCCATAGTGGGAAATGTTGTTAGCGGGTGAAATATCGTTACAATATTATTTAGAGTTTAATTCGTGGTTGTTTTGCATAGAGTAGTTTTATATGCCAAGTCATATTCGGAAATATTTTTTCAAACACAGTTTGCAATGTTTCTGGATTTGTAGTACGCTTACTTTAAACGCATGTTAGTAAATGTATATATATATATATATATATATATATATATATATATATTATCGCTTTCTTCGAGCCGCATCGATGGCGGCGGCTGTTTCTTTCTCACCCTTTTCTTCTCTCTCATCCTGATTGTCGGTGAGTGGCCAATCTGCTGTGCTCCCTTTTTTCCCTCGTGTTTAGTAGCATGCAGCGTAATACGCATGCGCACGTCTCTCTCCTCCTCTCTCTCCCTGTCCTCCTCTCGTTCTAATCAGTGTTGTGCGCATCGTGAGTGGAATTGTGAGGTTCACGCACACCATACGGCCTCTTGTTTTAAAACATTGCCACCATCGTCCACGCCCTCCTCCCGCTGGATCCCACCAGCCAGCGAGGGGGTGATATCCAGTTCTTCTTATGCGGCTTTTGTCTATATATCTATATAGCTATCTATCTATCTATCTATCAATCTATCTATCTATCTATCTCTCTCTCTCTTTATATATATATATATATCAGGAGCGTATTAATGACAAATTCAGACATGTCGTGCAAAAGTATGATTTATGTCAAAACGAAGGAAGCTACGCGGTTTGTAATACTACCGGAAGATAGAATAAGAACCAGTGAACAAAAGAAGCTCATGTTTGTATACATTTGTATTTTTATTCACATCGAACTCGTACGACAAAAATGTGTGTGAAATCAGTACCAAATCGCTGTCTTACTCCTTTGTCATTATACGCTCCTGATATATATATATATATATATAGTAGAAAAGTTCTTAGGTTGCACGATATTCAGTTGTTATAGTTAAAAAAAAAGAATAATCCGACATTTAGTTTTACACAAGCGCTTTCATCTTTATAGAATTTTCAGGTGCACATGTCGCATATATACAGTATATATATATATATATACAGTATATCTATATAACCCGATGTTGATAGCGGCGGCCGCGCTGACGTGTGATGTGACGACAAACAAAAGTTCACATGGGTCGAGGCGTTCTAATGGCCGTAATAATGATTTGATGACGCGCAATTTGTGATGTTTACACTGGCCGTAAATTGCTCGCCGCCGCCGCCGCCGCCGCCGCCGCTCGTCTCGCATGCAGGCTGTGCCGTGGCAGGAGTATGTATCTTGCTGCTGTTGCGGAGGTGCGCGTGTGCGCAGCGACAGCGGCGGACGGCGTTAATGTGTCTCACTTTCACGCATGGCAAACCGCCGCCGCCGCCGCCGTCGCTCTCTCTCGCGCGCGCGCGATCTCCCTCTCGCTCTCTCTTCCTCTAATTTTCTCTCTATGTTGCTCTCTCTCTGTATCGTTCTAACTTTCGCTCTCTCTCTCTCTCTCTCGCTCTCTCTCTCTCTCTCTCTCTCTCTCTCTCTCTCCCTCTCGCTCTCGCTCTTTCTTCCTCGAATTTTATCTCTATGTTGTACATACACACCTGTATCTGCCATACATACACACCTGTATCTGCCGTACATACACACCTGTATCCACTATCCATCACTACGCTAATCGTAATACCAATTAGAGAGGAAATTATGTATTTTTACATATGGAAATGGATGATGCCTAGCAATCCATCCGTGAATGATTGTCTGTCGGTCCGTATAACTGTCGATAGTATTACACGTTCATTTTGTGGTTTCGCGGTTCCGCGTCCTATTTTGGATAATGGATGCTATTTTATACGTATTTTTGCCGCGAAAAGAAATAACGAATGTGTTTTTAAGACATATCACGATGAGCGTGCGGTTGGCGCGTTTGTATGTCACTCGTCATGATTTTGTATGTCGGTGGACTCGATAGGCGTTTGATTGTGATAATATTTGTCGTTTAGATTTGTCGCAACGCTAATCCCACCCGAACTCGTGTGCAACTGGACAATCCGTTTGTTACGAATAATTGCACGATATATTTTTTCTGCTATTTCTAAAGTAGAAATGTAAACACGTTTTCTAATGCGGGGTTTTTAGGCGAGCGCCGTAGTGCGCTGATGTTATAGTTCTCGGCATTGAATGCGTGCACGTTTTATAGACGGATTTTTTTGTTAATCGAGCGAAATTAACGTGATTATAATATTATATTATCGTAAGGAATCCGTGTGCGTACGTAATTGTGCAGTGGAAGTTTTGTTACCGTCTAATGTTTCTAATATTTTTACAAAATATTTTTCGCGACTGTTAGCTGACTCCACGCGTCAGTGCGTGCGTGCGTGCGTGCGTGTAGTCGTGTACGTGTGAAATGTTCTTACAAAATATTGTTCGCGGCTTTGGTTGACTACACACGTGCGTGCGTGCGTGCGTGTACGTGTGTAAAGTTCCTGGTTTTCAATGTTTATCCGTGGTGTGTGCGCGTGTGTTGTTAATCTCCACGGTCACATAAAGGTGACGTTATTTAATGGCGGCTAGTCGGTGTGTCGCGGAGATTCTACGAGTCGGTGTGAGAGCGATGCTTGTACGTGTGTGTGTTCGCACGACCTGTCATTATTCGCATGTCTCGTGTTAGAGAGAGACGAACGCGATTGTATTCTTCTGTGTTATAGAAGAATACGCGAGAGAATGATGCGCGTGCGCATGCGTGCTTCCCGTGTTACGTTGTACGTTTTAGAGCTGATTTCAATAAACGAAGATTTGATCAAAAGTTGTCGCTGCAGTGGTTATTACTTATGATGATATCAGGAGTGAATAATAATAGATTTTCATCTATTATTATTATTATTATTCACTCCTGAT